GGGGGCAGAATCCCCTCCCTCGACCTGTTGCCGTGCTTCTTTTGATGCAGCCCAGGATACGGCTGGCTTTCTGGGCTGCGAGCACACACTGCTGGCTCATATTCAGTTTTTCATCCACCACCATCTCCAAGATGGATCCCCAGACGCACCCGCTGGTCAGAAATGAAGATTCCCCATAAGGGGAATGACAGCAAGCAGTGTTCAGCCCAGCCTTACTCTGTTGGACACGTCCTGCCAGAGGCAGCGATGGCCCTAGGTCCCTTCTGCCGCGTTTCTCACCTTTGGCGGTTCTTTATAGGGTTCGCTGTAGAGAGTGCGTATCCTTCTGCGCTCCAGGAATTTGTTATCAGCTGGAGCAGGCTTACTGGTTTCCCCCTTGAATTGAGCGCTGTAACTGGTTTCGTGGGTCATCTTCTCCTCTGGCGGCTTGTACTGGGCCTTCGCTTTTATAGCTTTCACAGGCTTGACATCTACCCAGGGTCTGAACTCGTTTCTGAAGATCAAAAAAGAAAGGGGTTCAGGAATTAAACCAACAGGAGAGTAATGGTAATGTGGAAACGAAATCCCTCATAGCTCAGCAAGGTCTACTTGGAAGGGCTTTTGCCTCCATCCAGTCAGGTTTACAAAGAAACTGACTCCCAACAGCTCGTTTTTGACCGCATCTAAAACCCCTTGACACATCAGGAGAAGTTCAAATGAAATTTGGTTTACTAAAATCAGGCAGTCCTGGGCACCAGACAACTTGCTACTTGTGTGACAATGGTCAGGTGCCCTCTGAAAAGCTGGCCTCAGATGTGACTGTGATCCTTTTTTTGAAAACATAGATGCTTTTTTGTCTCTACAGCTTCATCTCTGCACTGAAGCTACCTGCAAGCAGTTCCTGACTCTTGCAGTTAGGGTGGAAAAGAATATTTAGAAAGGAACGTCAAAATTCGTATTCTGCAACTCAACACAGGACACGCACTTCTCAGCAAACCTCCCTGCAGGCAAGCTAGCTGGGTGATTCAGAAATGTAAGGAGCCAAGATTTTCTACAGCCACCCCTCACCCATGCCTGTAAGTAGTGAATTGTATCGTTTTGCCTATATTGCACCAAATTATGCACAACAGTTTTTGTTAATTCCATAAAGGAACAGTTTAAGATAAAGCTGCCTTGAGATGTAAACTCAAGCAGAGTAGGAAATGCACGGTTTATCAGGTATTGTGAGCTATGGCTTCTCTTTATTGGCTGATGGTGAATTCCCGAGTTACTGGAAAAAATAACACCATCTTTCATTTCTTTTGGACAGAGCTGTGACTTTCTGGAGAAAAAACCCAAACCCAAACACATTTCAAAGATTTTTAGCATCTGCTGGACATGTTCTGGTTCCCATCCACAGCCTCCTTCTTGTGCATTTTTTAGTTCTTCCCAACGCAGCACCAACATCTTTCTAGTTTTGAAGCAAACCATTTCATTTTCTCTCTAAAAATTGCCATTCATCTGAGAATGGGGATGGAGAAACCACAAGTGTGTTGCTACCTTAGATGGTCATGCTCAGACATAGTCCCAGGCAGTGTTTAGATCCTTAAGGCTCCAGCGCAAGCCAGGAGCTATCCTAACGGTGGTGATACAAGCCCTCCACAAAGGGGTGAATTTTCCTTGGAAATCAAAGCCCTTGTCTTAATTTCGGCACCTCCGAGGCAATGGGACCTCTAAGTTGCAGACCCTGTCCCTCCTGCCCTGTTCCACTCAACTGCCTTTGGGTTGTGTTACTCGTTTTCAGCCTGGTTTATTAAGGAAATGAACTCTGTGTGAGGGTACTGCCAGTCAATCCCTTCCCATAATAGCTTTGAACATCTTAATCAGCTTCAACCAAATTTGGCAAATGGTCATGGAGATCTTCAGCTTTTACTTTTCTGAAGATAAGCAGTTGGACCGAGTCCAGAGGCTCGGGAAAGCTTCAGTATGGACATGCCCACTTCATCGGTCATCAGAGGACCCGCTTAGACAGGGAGGCTAGGCTGCAGAAGTGCATCTGTTGTCCTCAGGGACGAGTAATAAACGATCCCTTCACCTGCAGGATCAGTGCAGCTCCCTGCCCGCCCAGTACTACATTTCCCATTCACATAAACCCACTGCAAAGACGGAAAAAAAACCCTTTCTCTTCCAAGATGACTGCTGGTTGCAACAGTCTCCTGGGTGTGGTTCTCCTCCTAAGACACCTATGTTAAGGTCTCACCACATCTGCAGGGTGACTGTGTCCTTGTGGTAGTCAAGGCGGACTGGCCAACACAGTCAGTGGAGCTTGGAGAGCCCTTCCCTATGCCAAAGATGGGTGACTGCTTTAGGATGAGCTGAATGCCTCTTTGGGCTCTGTTAACTGACTAGATGTCCACTGATGGGAATACAAACATCTAGCACATGTGAAGACACTCACACATACACCCCTAAACGTAGGTATCTTAATCTATAAGCCAAATCCCATCTCCAACTCTCCATCCTTTCTTAGCGCTGATTCTACCTACATCTCTTTTTTATTTTCCCTGTATTTCTTCATTTCCCTCCCCCTCTTTTACTATTCAGCCCTTCTTGGGCTTGGATAATACTGCCAAAGGCCCAGGGACACTGCCTGTTTGAAGGATGCTGTTCTTCATGAAGCTGTTCCACTGAACGAGCAATAACATGAATGGGCTCATCTGTGTCCCCTTCTTTCCCGTTCAGTGAACGTCACCCATTTGTCCACAGGTATTTCTCTGCAGTCCATTGTTAAAATATCCCTCCTGCATGAAGAGTTGAGAGAAAGGAAGAGGAAACATCTTTAAAGAACTGGATTAAAGACGTGAATACATTGCTGACAAACTCAAAGTTCATCATAAGCTCCTCAGAAGATAAGAGGCTTCTTCCTAGGATCCACTTTTGTTCCAAAGCAGACTATATATTTTCAACTGCTTTCCAAAAGGAAATAAAATCATGCACTAATTCTCTCTGCCCATGTCTATCTGTCACTCAGATTCCGTCCTAGCAACTTCTGCATCCGTTAGCTATTTTCTACCGCATTTGTGGCAGGGGTAGAAATCTCAGAGGTGAAAATCGTAACACCTTTCCTCCAAATCAGTGAGTGCGCACAGGAGGAACATCCAAACGGTGTTCTTCAGCTGAGGGAAAGACAGGTAAAATGCATTTTCTCACTCATTCTAAGGCCAGCTGGACAACCAGCCCACATGGACCACCAGCAACCTAAGCACAGCTTGCGTCTACAGAACCAGAGACAAAGGATGGAGGCTGTAGTACTGTGCACACAGGGGCTGGACTTTAAAGACGGAACATAAACCAGGACTTACTCATTCTGCTGCTCATAAAACGCTGGTTTATATGGAGGTGAGCTTTGAAGCAGCGTGATTGTATTTGTTACCATAGTGCCTGGCAACCTCATTATGCACCGCATTATGCAAACCCACAGAAAGAGACGGGCTGCTCCCTGAAAAGCCTGTGATCTCTGTAGGCAAGGCAGACACACGAGGTGGGGAAAAGGGAGGAAAAAAGCCTCGTGCTACCTGTGGGCTGGCAGGGACTGCATTTCTGCACTCCCATGGGCTGGTTGCTGAAATGCTAAAGCAAGAGATCATGCAACAGAGCTGGGCTGTTAATGCAACAACCGATCTCATCTGACTGTTAAAAATGAGCATGAATGCCTCTGCTCTTCTCCATCCTTGCTTTGCTGGTCTTAATGCAGACGTAACAATTCTGTGAGTACTCAGCTCCGCTGTACTTGGCGACAGGACCCTTGACTACCCCGCGCCTCCCAAGATGAGCCTGGCTTTGCAAGCAAAGGATAGACCGATAGCCATTCTTAGGTGGATGCATGCTGATGCACTATGTCCACCAGCTCTGAAATAGCTCAGCCACGATCTTCTCTGGAAGTGGAGGATAGAAGGCTATTGATCCTGAAATATTTTACAGTGTTGACAAAGAAGTTGTAAATACCAGGTATGTCACACGGATTCAGTGCATATCTAGAAATAACAGGTTGCCCAGAGAGGTGGTGGATGCCCCATCCCTTGTAACCTTCCAGTGCTGGTTTGTCGGGGCTCGTAGCATCCTGATCTAGTTGAAGATGTCCCTGACCACGGCAGGGGGGTTGGACTAGATGACCTTTAGTGGTCCCTTCCAACCCAAACCATTCTATGATTCTATGGCTCTATTCTAAATCCTTTTCAGGCGAATTGTGCATGATTTCACATCACCAGCTATTACACTAGAGCCGGTCCCTTCAAGCATGTGCGAGAGCATGGGCCACGTTCGTATGGAGACCTACCACACCTGGGATGGACCAGCTACTCCCTGCTGTGACCACGCTCAAGCACCCAGCGTGCCCAGTTCTGCTTATCTGCTCTCCAGAGCTTGCAGAGGCAGAGGAAGGAGGAGAGGAACAGACCATTTACTACAGCTGTGTCTGGTGCAGCAAGCTGATCTCAGTGCCTATTTTTGATATTCAGGCAACACATAAACTGCAAAAAAGTGTTACTAGAATAGACACAGGCTATTCTGTGCCGGTTGCGTCAGTGCCCAGAAACTCAACTTACCATGGTTAATTAGCACAAAAGTACTAATTCCTAAATCTTTCTGTCTCCACCACAGATGAGTGAGGCAAAACAACCTGTTGGGAACTGCCCTTGGAATATGCCAGCTCCTGAACCCAGCCCAACAATTGCTTGGAAAAGTACGAGTTACCCTGGGCCAAAAACGTAGGCAGGAGTGCGCTAGCAACTTCACAGCCTGGATCACCACGTTTGAGTGCCAGACGCATCGAATTTACTAATGCAAAGGTACTAACGAGGAGACAGGTGCCCTACTTGGGGTCTGCGTCTCTATTGATTGTAGGGATGGGGGAACGTCTCTGGAAGGTGTCATAAACCCCCTTTCTAGGTCTGGTGACTCTCCGTCAAATGTCTGTCTGATACGGTCCTATGTCACCATGAGCTCATGTTGTCCAAACGGTGCACGGCACGGCTACAACCTCTTAGGGCAGGAAGATGGAACTGGCCTGGTGCTCCAGGATATCAACGTCACCCAGAGACGCTGCTTTATAAATTTATACACTCCTTATGTGCAGCAAAGAAGCGAGACGAAAAGCAGCAGCTTTAAGAGTTGATTTTTTTTTTTGGCATTCCGGTACTAGGAAAAATATCTGTTCTCTAAGGTATCGGATCGGTCGCTCCTGTAACACTAAAACTAACCCTGGCTTGGGGAAAGCCCCTGCAGTTCTGAGACCTCCCTCACTACTATTTAACAGCCCAAGGCCAATTTGTGGGGAAGGTGCCCAAAAGTTACAAATTCTGGCTGCAATCTGAAAGGAGCCCTGAAAATGTTTTTTTTTTTCCCTGTTTTGAGAACAACAGGTCATAGCGGTGTCTGGACCACCGCACACCGCTCCACAGAAAATTAGCTCTGAAAGTATTTCAGGAGCGTGCTAGACCCCATCCTAAAAGAGCTCAGCCTCAAAGCTCACGTAAA